ATGTTGAGGAAACTGTTGATGACTACCTATTGTCGAGAGATAGGCAAAGAAGAGTCATAAAACCACCTCAGAGACTTGGATATGCAGATCTTGTAGCTTATGCCTTAATCTCTGCAAGTGAAGTTCTAGACGAAGAACCTAGAGATTATAAGGAAGTTATAAGGAGTCGAATGAAGACTGAATGGCTAAAGGCCATGCATGATGAGATGAAATCTCTCCATGATAATCACACTTGGGAACTAATCAAGAAACCTGTTGGGGCAAGGTTAGTCAGCTGTAAGTGGATTTTCAAAGTTAAGGAAGGAATTGAAGGAGTAATGTCGAAGAGGTACAAGGCAAGATTAGTCGCAAGGGGTTTCACTCAGAAAGAAGGTGTCGACTTCAATGATGTATTTTCCCCTGTTGTGAAGCACAGATCCATCCGAATGTTGCTTGCCATGGTGGCTCAGTTCGACCTTGAACTGGAACAAATGGATGTGAAGACTGCGTTCTTGTATGGTGACTTAGATGAAACAATCCTGATGAGGCAACCTGAAGGGTATGTCGAAAAGGGGAAAGAAGATTATGTGTGCAAACTGAAGAGATCTTTATATGGACTTAAACAATCTCCTCGACAGTGGAATAAGAGATTCGACAAGTTCATGGAACACATAGGTTTCATTAGAAGTCAGTTCGATCATTGTGTTTACTCCAGATTTCGACCTGAAAATTCATTTGTAATTTTGTTGCTTTACGTTGATGATATTCTGATAGCAAGCAACAATGTCGAAGAAGTAATGAGGGTGAAGGCTGAACTCAATAAGGAGTTTGACATGAAGGATCTGGGAGCTGCATCTAGGATTCTTGGAATTGACATTCGAAGAGATAGAAAGCAGTCGAAATTATGCTTATCTCAAGAGGCATACCTACGAAAGATTCTTGACAAGTTTGGTATGTCGAACTCAAAGCCTGTTGTGACTCCAACAAACCCTCAATTCAAGCTGAGTATTGATCAATGTCCCAGTACTGATGTTGAAAGAACCTATATGAATAGCATCCCATATGCTAATATAGTTGGTTCTTTGATGTATGCTATGGTCTGTACTAGACCCGACATAGCATATGCAGTAAGTCTTGTAAGCAGGTACATGGCGAATCCTGGAAAGGCTCACTGGCAAGCGTTAAAGTGGATTCTAAGGTACATAAATGGGTCTCTGAACAGAGTCTTAATTTATGGTGGAGCCTTGGGTGAAGATAGTAAAGCAGCAGTCGAAGGCTATGTTGACTCTGATTATGCAGGCTGTATGGATTCCAGAAAATCTATTTCTGGATATGTTTTCACTATGTTTGGTACAGCAATTAGTTGGAAAGCAACTCTTCAGAAGGTTGTTGCCTTATCAACTACTGAAGCAGAATATATTGCCCTAACTGAAGCTGTGAAAGAAGCATTGTGGCTTGAAGGTTTTGCAAAGGAGCTGAAACTTCAAGGTCAAGGTATCACTGTTAAATGTGATAGTCAAAGTGCAATACACCTGTCGAAGAACTCAGCCTATCATGAGCGAACCAAGCACATAGATGTGAGGCTGCATTTCGTCAGAGGGGTAATCGAGCGTGGAGAAGTCCAAGTGCTGAAGGTCTCGACAGATCACAATGCCGCTGATATGATCACCAAAACATTGCCAAGTTGCAAGTTTTTCCACTGTATGCAGTTGATAAAGCTGCATGAAGAAAGCTAGTTAGTGTCTCTTGATGCTGTAGAGTTAGGTCCAAGGTGGAGATTTGTGGGATTTTGGATCGAACTCTAGCATGATCGAAGTACATGCTGTAGTCGAAGCATGTATTTGTCGAAGAATGCTTGTTAAATTAGGTTTTAGTGTTTAAACCCTAATTTGTTAAGTTAGCTTGATTATTAAGTTAGCTTGTATAATGGGCCTTGTGGAAAAAGCCCATTAGTTAGTATGTTAGGTTTTATTATAAATAGCATACTAGTCTCTCATCATTGCAACACAGCAAATCCTAATTCAGGGTGAGAGGGTTATTTGTTATTCTTGTAAACTTGTAATCTTGTTTTCTAAGAGAAAGTAAAGAATAGCAGTTATAACCAATTCTTGTGTTCTTCTTCTTCCTTGTTCTTTATTCTTCCCTTATTCTATACTTTGTTATTGGCATTGAATTCACAACACTAGATTTGACAGAAATCTACTAACTGTACCAACAACATGTGTTATATTAGTCTTGTACATCATTGCATACATCAAACTACCCACAGAAGACGCGTAAGAAACACCTTTCATATCAAACGCTTCATCTCCATTTGAAGGACTTTGATTAAAACTCAATTTGAAATGGGTAACAAGAGACATGATTACCACCTTAGAACTTTACATTTGGAATCTTTGTAGCACTCTTTCGATATAATGTTCTTGTGACATCCAAAGTTTCTTCTCCTTTCTGTCACGCATGATTCTAATGCCAAGAATCTATTTAGCTGCTCCCATGTCTTTCATGGAAAATGACTCTCCCAACTGCTTCTTTAACCTGTTAATATTTGAAATATTTTTCCATATAATAAACATATCATCAACATATAACAACAGGATAATAAAGTCATCATCAGAAAATTTTCTAACAAAGACGCAATAATTTGAGGTAGTCTTATGGTATCCTTTTGGATTTCACCGATGTCTGGGCTTCATCCAGAGTAGTAATACATTCCTTACCATAAATAAGGGCATCCTTAAAGTGCTCAAAGGATCTGGGTAATAAACTCAACAGGAGTAAAGTCTTGTCCTCATCATCAATCTTTACTTCAATATTCTCAAGATCATCGATGATCTTGGTCTTCTGTATATGTGTAAGTCCTGCAGGCATCAATTCTTCACTCTTCAAAGCATCAATACACTTCTTTTGAATTAAAATTGCTTGCATCTTAATTTTCCACAACCCGAAGTCGTTGTTACTAGAAAATTTCTCGATCTCCCATCTAACCATGGTACTCACTTGTAAATAATACATCTTTGCCCCACGCTCACCGCACCACTTGTTGTGAATCTTATTGTTAATTACGACAAAATTCAATATCAATTTGTGAGGCAAAGAATAGTAGCAACCAAAATAAATGGTCTATAACAATAATAATCCGTACGCAGATAATATAACAGAATAAGACGAGAAAAAGACGAAGGTTTGTTTACCCAGTTCGATCAAGCGATCTACTCTGGGGGAGAGAGAATCTCTCCAATTCACTATACTCAAAAAGTTGTTACAAGATATTACATATGAGTTACAAGAAAATAGTCTTTGCCTTTAGGTTCTCAAGAACAATCCTGAAGGCTCCCAAAAATTAACCCTATTTGCTACCCAAGTGTTTCCCAACCTCTTCAACCTTCGATATATAAATAACCCAAACTCAAGGTGTAGACAAGTATTTCTCAATTCTCAATTCTCTTAGATAAGTCTAAAGGTTTCTAAAACCCTTGTCTTTCTAAGGTTTCCCTTGAGAATAGCCAAAACCCTATGCTATGCCTTTAAATCCTTTCTCTCCCTTTTTACTGTAAGCTCTATGATTGTCACACTGTAATAACAGAAGAGATGCATATTTATAATATTCGAAATCCAACAAATCCATAACAAATCTCAAAACATATATCCTTAAATTTGTTAGAATAAAAGATATTATTATAGTCTTATAATATCTCTCAAATATTATAAATATCTTATAACATCTCTTAGACTATTATAAATATACATTTTATAATATCTTTTAAAATATTATAAATATATATCTTATAATTTCTTTTAGAATATTATAAATATCTTATAATATCTTTTTATATTAATTTATCTCTTAAAAAGCCTAAAACGCATAGAAAATTTGCATCTATATGATTATTTTAAACATGTTGTTTAGATATTAATTGGACACTTGTCAAAGGAATCCTAATTGTTAGGGCTTGATATGTGAAACAATCATGAAATAATAAAAAGTTGGTGTGAATATTAATTTATATAATCTTTAAATTAATATAAAATATTCTAATATTAATGAATGGTCAATAAATCACCCAAACTGTATATTGTTGTTGTTTTTTTGACTTTTTGATTTTTTTGGCAATCTCGAAACATGTTTTCTTTCTCTTCATTAACAAAAGTTTGTAAGGCATATTCCAACACATCCAATTTGTCTTAATTGGTTGGGGCAAATCTAACCTAAAACTTAGCGTAAACACACACTTTGAAATTTATTTTGTACAACTTTCATCGTGTTGTTTTCATCTTACAATTTTTTAATTTTACGAAAAAGATGCTTTATCTCATTTTTGTGCATAAACCATGGATTGATTCAACAAACCATAGATCGATACAACGGAGAATTAACTTTTCCTTCCTGTTACTCAAACTAAGGTATAAAACTCTAAAATAGGTCCAATGCAAATAAAGGTAATGTGTTTTCACCAAAACTATTGCACCATTCTAAGATGATTTTTCTTCGAGAAGTCCATTTCAGGATGCTACAATAGATAAAATATAAACCGTAGCAGCCAAATTACCAAATCGACAAAGACAATGTTGAGAATGCAGAGAAAATCTTGACAAAAATCAAAGGTTCACCTGACTCATAAATTTCTTCATCACTGGTAGGAAGGCCCATGGATTTAAGCCTCTAATCAAATTGTTGAACAATACAAGATAATATTAAACCGTTAGCAAAGAAATCAAGTGTAACAGGATTACACGGAATAAAATCGATGACAGAACAAAACTCAAACAATTACCATCATTTACCTAGAAGGCTTTTAAGTTAATACAAAACACACAAGAATATGTGGTGCAACTAAAAACATTTACAATAAAGAAGTTACAAAACAAAATGCTGAAATAACAGTAAACCAAGCTTGCTAAAATCTAATCTTAGATCTCACATAATTTAAAAAAATCGATCCTAAAAATCTAAATAACATAACAAGCTAGCCAAAAATGGCTACATACAAAATATACAACATTTGTTACGGCATTGCAGATCACTCCTTAGCTTCTGCATCGATACCATCTTCACATGCGATCTCATCATCTATCCAAGTAAAATAATGTGTAAGTAATCATACTCATCACATCACAAATAAAATGTTAAAAAAAAAAAGAAGAATTTCATGTTGGGTACCTTGGGAATATGATGATACGATGGTCCCATCACAATGTGGGGCTTGCTGTTGACAAAATGTTATTATTATTAATATACAAATTAAATATGTTTTTAAACACATGAAAAAAGTCATATAAATATAACAGTTTTACTTTTTAACTGTAAAAAAAAATTAAAGTGCATGCAAATGTACTTTTTTTTTTTTCTAAATTATCTCAGAAAAATTTATTTGTATTGAAATTAGTTTCTATCATTTATGATTATTTGATTTTAACCTTTTAAAATAAATACTAAGATGAATATTACAAAACTAAATTCTAATATTAAATAAGTAAAAAAAAAAATCATAATTAATTAATCATGACATTGTGTACCTTTTCTATGAACAATTGTTTAATAGTTGTGTTAAGATCACCTTTCCATCGTATATTTTCCTCTTCAACTTCAATTTCTGTCAAGCATGGTGCTTGTGTGACTCCTAATGAAAAATTCTTCATTTGAGGACATCCTTTAACAACAAAATGCACCAAAGATGGGAATATGAATGTTTGTTTCCCACTTGAGAAGCTTCTTAAACTTAACAAAGTAATGAACTTCAAGATTTTCAAATTTTCAAATATGATGTCTTCCTCTACTTTTTCATCATCAATCTTCACAACATCCAACATCTTCTCACACTTCTTTATTTTTAATTCTCTGAGCTGAACTAAGCTTTTAGCTGTTGAAGATGTTATCAAATAAAACAACTCTTTGCAATCATTCACCTCCAAAGTCGTCATATTTGTGAAAGATGTGGACGATGGTATCAAGCATATCAAACTTGGACAACTATTTACGTATAAATCTTCAAGATTCAATGGAAAATCTTCGTGGCAAATATACTTCATCTTTTCCAATTCATAAAGCCACAACTCTTTTATTTGCTTAGAAAGTTCATCATTGAGATTGCCAGGAGTTCCTTTTGAAGGGAATAATGTTTCAAAACAACTATTACGCAATTGAAGAGTTGTTAGATTAGGTAATATTGCATGGAAATCATTCAAAAAAACAGTTGGAGTTTCATCAAAGCGTTGCAAACGAAGACGTTGTATTTTAGGAAAGATATTTTCTTGACAGTAATCATTCAACATTCTAAAGGCATCCTTTGCATTTATCGTCAGTTCCTCCAGGTTGGTGCTTAGCTAAAAAATCAAACCTCCAAAGATTAAATACGTACTACTATTAGTTTATTACAAAGATAGATAAGGGATGATGGAATTTACCTTTTCAATAGAAAAAAGGGCTTGTTGGGAACTTTCATCCACCAAATACTCGGGTTGTTGCAAGTCTAAATTGTTGAAGGAAAACATTCTCAATGTTTCACAACGACATACATTCAAAATCTTCAATGAAGGGCATTCTAAAGTATGTTTTCCTTGATAGAAACTCTTTAGTTTTGTCAAACCGCATAGTACCAATGTATTTAGTAGGGGGAAATTTAAACTAATTTCCATTGGTCCGTCTCTCATTGCAACAATATCCTCGACTCCGCAAGAATCTATCTCAAGCATTTCAAGATTTCCAAGATCTTGGCACATGGACAATGAAAAGATGTATAACAAGCCTTGGCACGAAGAAACATCCACCGAGCATAGGTTTCCAAAGTTCATAATTTCATGAGGATCCTCGTTCCATATGTGCTCCAAGTTTGATAAACAAGACAAAGTCAACGTTTTTAATTGACTGCTTTGTTTTATCAATATTAATTCATTAGACTTCATACCTTTAACATCAAATATGGCTTCTAATGAATCACAGTTGTTCACTTCTAGTTCTTCCAATTTATGTAGCACTTGAACAACATTTGATGGAAAAAGTACATGTGATAAGAAATCACATCTTTGCACCACTAGATGTTTCAGATTGCAAAATACATTCTGATGATCCACTTGGCCATACCATAAATCCTTTAGCACAGGGTGGTTCGATAAGGCTAAATATTTGAATTTAGAAAATCCAACCTGATCAATAAAATTCAAATATCAACTATATATCAATAGAAAAATCAAAACTAATATGTTTTTGAAAATTATGAATGTTTGTTGCTATCAATAGGAAAAAGGTTACTCAAACAATACCTTTTCTTCAAACATTTTTTTTATTGTATCATTTAGGTTTCCCTTCCAATGCCATTCCTCTTCATTTTCTGCATTTTTAACTTTTCGAAGATTTGGTGTACTTGGGTTTCTCTCTGAAAACATCTTCATGTAAGGACATTCTCTCACAATTACTTTCTCCAACAACGGAAACTTCAAGAAGAACTTGCTAGAGCAAAATTTGTTGAGGCTTGGCAAACATTCCAACATCAAAACTTCTAAACTAACAAATGCAATGTCAACACTTTCTACTCCGGTAATTATTTCTTCAAGTGATTTACAATCTCTTACCTTAAGTGTTTTGAGTTTGACCAAACTCTGTGCCGTTGGAGTTGTAATTAAACTTTTTAGACCATTGCAACTTATTATCTCTAGATAATTCAAATGATTAAGGGTGACAGAGGAAGGCAACAAATTTGTCAAACTAGAACAGCTAGCAACCCATAAGTGTTCAAGGAACTCAAGAACTGGGTCAATTCGAGATCCTTCCTCACATATTTGTTGAAGTTTATGTAATTCACTCAATACCAGATTTTTTATCCGAGTATGAGTCTTCTCACTTGTTTGTTTTTCGTTTTGAAAAATCTTCTTGAAGCGACTCCACTCAACAACTAACACCTCAAGAGTATGCACATTATTAAGAAACCAATAAGGAAATGTAGAGTCTTCATTGTTATAAAATCCTAAACCAAGAAAGGTCAGTTTGGTAAAGAGGGCACTTGAGTTTTGGGCTTGCAATATCATGTCAGCATCCTTTTGTTCTATCCTCAACCTCTCCAAGTTTGGAATAACCTAAAGCATATGTAAACAACGGAACATTTTATTCATACATATATAATAAATATTTGATATTTTAAAATAATAAAACAAAGTCCTTATTATAAAAAATAAAATAAATAGAGTCTTGTTTCAGTCTTACATTGTTATATATGTAAATTTACATGATATACATACCTCTTCGGCGATGAAAGGTGGTTGTTGAGTTACGACTGAGAGTTTATCATGTTGAAAACTACTTTTAGAGCTGCATGTGGAAAGAGTTCTATACAAGTTCAATTTTGAACATCTGAAAACATCAATTTTCCTCAAAGATGGACATGATAGAGTATGCTCTCCAACATAGAAACACTTGAGTTTGTTCGAGTTCCAAAGCACTAGAGTACTCAGTTGATTAAACATAAATATGGGACATGCACACACCCTAGATTCTTTCTTCTCTGCAACAATTCTATTCAAGCTTGCACAATTTTTTATCACAAGCTCTTTGAGAAGTGAACAACTAGTAGTGGCTACAGAAAATGGTAATAGATACTCCAAACTTTGACAACCATTTAGTTGCACATCTATTAGATTTTGAAAGCTAAGAATTTCTTTAGGATCCCGACTCCATATCTTTTTCAACTTCGGCAATCCAATTATTGTAACTTTTTTCAGATGTGTTGTATCCTCTATACAGCTGAAAGTCAACTCAAATATTTCTTCCACCAAAGCACAATTTGTAACCTCCAACATCTCTAATTTGTTATAAGTTTTTTGCATTGAAGAAGGAAAAATTACCACAATTCTTTTACAATTGCTCACATGCAACGACTTCAATGACCCAAATTGGTGGTGCCATATTGTCTTCAAGTTGTCCATATCCTTCAATATTATTTTCTCTAATTTCAAGAAAGGAACCTATATGTATTCATAAATAACCAGTATAAATTTAACTAAATAATTTTTTTTATGCAAGTTTAAAATAAATTGGAATATTCCTAATGGTAGAATTACCATACCTCATTCAATGGATTGTTTCCCTCTTCTTTAGATATTATTTCTTCCATCAAAGGACAATTACTTATTTTAAGGTGTTTGAGGTTCTTAAAACTTCCGACCACCGTAGAAGAGAATAAGTACTTCAACCCGCCACAACTCTCCACAATCAAACTAGTCAAGTTGTACGTGGAATAATCATCCCAAATTTTACTCAAATTGAGTGAGCTCAATTTAAGGGTATCCAAATTAGGAAATGCAACCTACATAATAATAAATTAACATAATTAATAATTGAAGGCTTATATTTGATAACATAATTAATAATGCAATTTTTTTAAATCAACATTAAGAAAAAGGTTTTTAAAATAAAAGAAATGGATTATATATATATATATATATATATATATATATATATATATATATATATATATATATTAAAAAAGAAGAAAGAGTAAATAATAAATATATCCTTCTATCCACTAATTAAAATATTACTTTAACTAAGCAACACATAATTTAAAATTGGCAAAACAAAACAATGTGAGAGACATATTAGAATGACAAAATAACAGACAATTTACAAACACATTTATAGTCTAAATATTAAAATGCATAATATATTAGAGAACATTGTTAAACAAAATAATTTCATTTTATTGATAAATATAATATCTCTTAAATTTAATCAGTTCATCTAAATATAAAATCAATAATATCATTATATTAATCATATAAAAATCGTCAACCAGATATTACATATGTTTTTAAGGCATAATCTTAAAATATATTATGACATTTAAAAAAAAATTAAATACTAAAAGAATAATATATTTAATACATTACTAAAACTTTTTGACATTATAAAAAAATTAATAATTGAATAGTATCCATATATTAAAAACAAGTTTGTCATGTATAGAAGGTTTAAAAACAAAATAACATACCTGGACATTGAAAAATGGTGTAGAAGAAACATAAGGTTCCAAACCTTGATACTTTTGCTTACTTTTGGAGTGTGAGAAGAAATTATCGAGTGTCTCCAAATGTTCTAGAGTCAGAGAACGCAATTGAAGGAACTCAATTTTTTCATTATTTGCACTTGAACTGTTGTCTTCGAGTACTATATCTTTCATAGAATTGCACTGACAAACTTCAATCTTAGAAAGGTGGGAAAGTCGTTTAACCATTGTAAAGGAGAAAAGATATTTTAATTGGAAGCAACTTTTGACTTTGATAACACTAAGACTTTCAAAAGAAGTAGCTGAAAGTGGACCATGAGATATATTTTCTAAGTTTTTAAGATTATCAAGTAGCAGAGTTTCCAAGATGGGAAAGGACACATGGATTTGATTCCTCTCCTTAGAGTCAACAATGTGCTTCACATTTGCATTATTTTGGATGTGGAGATGTTTCAGCAATGGAAATCCTTCCCCATTTAGGTCATAAAGCACATTTTGAATTCCATCTACGTCATCCAAGTACAAATTCTCAACACCTTTAATCAATGCTTTAATTCCGTGCTCCAAATGTATGTTGGTACCAAGTTTGAGCATCAATGTCTTTAAGGTTCCATACTTAATGTCAGACCATTCCCATACATCTCCAATAGCTATTCTGTATCTTTTCAGCTTCTCAAAAATCAGTTGCAAGTCCCTTGGCAACATCCAAGTCTCGCGAATTTGTAATTCTAGAGCTGTCAAGTTGGGTAGTTTCCGAAGCTCGGCAATGCTAGCATTTTCATTTTCAACTGTAGAATTCACATCTGCCCAATTAATAGACGTATTGCCCATGTACAACTCCTCCAACTTAGTCAAGCTTGATAAGATATTGGGTGGGACTACTTCTATTCCTGAATGGCTCAATTTAAGCATTCTCAATTTAGTCAATCTCCCTATTTCTCTTGGCAACTTGATCATTGAAGATTTCCAGAAACTAAGAATTTCTAAATTTTGCAAAGCTTCTATTGCATCCATGTTTTCCAAAACACAGAAATCTAGACACAATGAAGGTAAGGTCAGATATGTTAAATCTAGCACTGTAAGGTTTTTCATACCCTCAAAAAACATATCTGGGATTTCTAAAGTTCGATTCCTGCTGATGAAACAGAAAAACTTAATGCTTGGACAATCAACCTTTGGAGGAAGCTCGTGCAAATTATGACATTTACGTAGAATGATCTGCGTGCACCTGTTCAAAAAATCATTAGTTGGCCATTCCATATCAGCAAATTCCCTTAGAAATACATGTTTGTCCCTGCGTGCTATGGAGGTAGCAAAATCACGAACAAAGTCATGCATTTTGATCTCTCCGCTTGTTTTACTTTCATGCAAAAAACATGTCTCCTCCAAAGATTTGATTATTGCGTAATGTCTATTTCTTGCATCATCCATGGTATTAACATGCTTTAATATGTCCAAACCCATTGCAACTTCCAGAGAATACTCTATATGACCACCGGGAAGTAATGCAAAAAGCAAGAATAGATCCCTAACTTCACCACTTTCCAATGCGTCGTAACTCAATTCCAAAGCAGAATAAGTTAATGTGTCCATCCCTGCATGATCATTACTTTGTAATTTCCTTAATGCATCGTTCCAAGAATGGACATCCCTCTTATTTTTCAATGCACGTGCTACCATAACTACACGAAGAGGCAAACCCGCACATTTTTGGGCAACTTGAATTGCTACATCTTTCAAATCCCTATTGTTAACCACATCACCAGCCATAAATCGAAACAAGCTCCATGTCTCTTTTTCACTCATAAGTTCAAGTCTGAAAGTGAAATCTTTTGGAACATCCATTTGTACCAACACATTTTGACTTCTACTTGTCATAAACAATTTGCAACCATTATGCTCATCACCAAATGGAATTCCCACATTCTTCAAATCAATTACGGTCCATATATCATCTAGAACGATAAGGATACTTTTCTCGTTCTTGATTCTCTGTCTTAGTCGATCAGCTCTGCCTTGAATAGTCTCATCAGGGAATCGCAGACCCAACGTATCTGCAATCTCCCCTTGAATTGTTTTCAAGTCTGGATTTTGGGATACACGCGTTGTAACCACTTCAGCGAACAATTTGTGTTGCTTGGCTATTTGAGAAACTTCCTTCACCAGAGTGGTCTTACCCACCCCACCCAACCCATACACCCCAATGTTGCGTGAATTAGGATCTTTTAAAGCTTCCATAATCTCCTGCTTAAGTGTCTCTCTTGTCTCATATTTTTCATCACCTCTTGTTGAGGAAGAAGAGGCTACTCCATCTAGAGCACCAAGTGGACCAGAAAACTTTTTTTCTTTAAATTGAACAACATCTTTTGCAAGTTTTGTGGATTTCCTGCTTAGTTGATGACGCGAAATCAAATTGGGAAATGGCCATGCTGAGCACCTAAGATTGGCATGGCGGGGATCATTTTGAAGCTGAGTCGCTTTTTCAATGACCTCGTCCACATTCTTAATCCATGTCTCCACATCTGGAAAAATTGTTTTACCATTTCTCCTTTCTTCTTCAACCAAAATCATCATTCTTTGTCTTGCATATTCAATTTCTTTAACATCATCAGCTAACGTTTTGAAATTGGCTTTGTAGCGTATCAAGTAACTTGCTTGACGTCCAATAGGAGCAACAGTATACTCTGAGACCTTTCCAACAACAGAAATTAGAATATCCATTGATTCTCTTGAGTTGATCTGAAAAAGTTTTGTATGATATTAACATATTACTCCTTAATTGGAGAAAAACTGCAAATAATCTTTTAATGGAAAAATAGAGACTTATTTGAGCAAATTAAATCTATTGAAGACTAGAGCTAGAATTTTATAATTTACCTATTTTAGAAGACAGTTACTAGTATATTTTATAAAGTAGTTTTAAAAATAACGAAATATATGAATTATAAAGTTGAATTAATTTTTGTGTGCGTGAGTTAAAATAAATGAATAAAATAGGCAAAAGAATGAAGAGCATGATGGATCTCTAATCTCTTAGAAATAGCCGAAACAAAAAGATATGAAAATGATCTTTATTATCACTAAAGGAGGCAACAAATTAAAACTGTAGAAAACTGGAACTAGAATTTAACATAATCTTTTGCAATACCCATTTTAGAATGAAGAGCATGGATTTGTTACCTCTTAGAAGACAAATAGAAAATGGGTTCAAACAATTTGCGGAAACTAAATGAATGATCTCTGCAACAAACAGCAAGAAAAAGATATTAAAAGGATTGATTTACTCTTTATTATTACTGAAAGAGACAAGAAATGAATGTGTACCTCTAAGTAAGCACTTGTTAAAGCTTTGAAATGAAGAGATCAAGTAGAAATTAAGCTGGGTTGAATACTCAAATCTTAAACACCATGAAGTGATCGAGGATAGGTTTAAAATAGACTACTAGTATATAGAGTCATGTGAAAACTTGTCTGAAAATGTGCATCATGTGACTACGACTAATAACTTAATCTATTAGTTTTCTCTTCGGGTAAGTAACTACTTGAATTATTATATTTATGATGCATAAGCAAACAGTTAGTTTATAAAAATACCATATAATTGGTTATCAATTGCATGTTGTTTAATAATAGAATGTAAGATAAACTGTGTGAATCATGTATGTGAAAAAAGTAGAGAAGTAGAGATACCTTAGTTACAAGCAAAACGGAAGATGAATGTTGGGGAGAGAATACCGTTGGAGAGAGATGGAAGAAGAGAGATTGTCAAAGATGAATGTTGTGAAAATGAAAGTTATGATGGGAAGTTTTCGGATTTCAAACGGTGGAGGGAAATATTCACTAGCGTACAAACTCAATAGACAATTAGATAATGACTGCAACATGAATGATTGGGAAAAGGTGATTGGTTATCCCTCTGACGAAATGCAGCCTCACATCGATGTTCTTGGTTTGCTCATGATAGGTTGAGTTCTTCGACATGTGTATTGCACTTTGACTATCACATTTAACAGTGATAAATCGACCTTGAAGTTTCAGCTCCTTAGCAAAACCTTCAAGCCACAATGCTTCTTTCACATTTTCAGTGAGGGAAATATATTCTACTTCAGTGGTTGATAAAGCAACAACCTTCTGAAGTGTTATTTTCCAACTGATTGTTGTGCCAAACATAGTGAAAACATATCTTGAAATAGATTTTCTAGAGTCCATACAACCTGCATAATCAGAGCCGACATACCCTTCGATTATTGCTTTATTATCTTCACCCAAGGCTCCAACATAAATTAAGACTCTATTCAGAGACCCATTTATGTACCTTAAAATCCACTTCAATGCTTTCCAGTGAGCCTTTTCAGGATTTGCCATGTACCTGCTTACAAGACTTACTGCATATATTATGTTGTGTCTAGTACAAGATCATAGCATACATTAAAGAACCTACTATGTTAGCATATAGGATGTTATTCATATAAGCTTTTTTTTACATCAGTACTGGGATACTGATCTATACTCAGCTTGAATTGAGGGTTTGTTAGAGTCACAATAGGCTTTAAATTTGACATATCAAACTTGTCGAGAATCTTCGGTAGGTATGCCTCTTGAGATAAGTATAATTTCAACTACTTTTTATCTCTTCGGATGTCAATCCCGAGTACGCAGCTCCCAGATCCTTCATGTCGAACTCCTTATTGAGTTCAGCCTTCACCGTCATTACATCTTTGACATTGTTGCTTGCTATGAGAATATCATCAACATAAAGCAACAAAGTAACAAATGAATTACCAGGACGAAATCTGAAGTAAACACAGTGGTCGAACTGACTTCTAATGAAACTTATGCATGCCATGAACCTGTCGAATCTCATATTCCACTGTCGAGGAGATTGTTTCAGCTCATATAAAGATCTATTCAACTTGGATACATAATCTTTCTTTCCCTTTTCGACATACCCGTCAGGTTATCTCATCAGGATTGTTTCATCTAGATCACCATACAAAAACGCAATCTTCACATCCATTTGTTCCAGTTCAAGGTAGAACTGTGCCACCATGACAAGCAACATTCGAATCGACATGCGCTTCATAATAGGAGAAACACGTCATTGAAGTCTACACCTTCTTTCTAAGTGAAACCTCTTGAAACCGACCTTGTCTTGTATCTCTTCGACGTCACTCCTTCAATTCCTTCCTTAACTTTGAAAATCCATTTACAACTGACTAACCTGGTTCCAGCAGGTTTCTTGATCAGTTCCCAAGTGTTGTTATCATGAAGAGATTTTATCTCATTATCCATGGCCTTCAGCAATTCAGTCTTATTTCTACTTCTCATAACTTCCATATGGTCTCTAGGTTCTTCGTTTAGAACCTCACTTGTAGAGATTAAGACATACGTTATAAGATTTGCATACCCAAGTATTTGAGGTGGCTTGATGACTGTTCTCATCCTATCTCTTGCTAGGTAGTAATCGACAGTTTCCTCAACTTTCTCAACATCTCCTGCTTCTTCTTCGACTTCATCTGGGATACACAATTCAGCATCGACATGCTCCACCTCAACATAAATCTCTCCCTGTTCCAGCTCTTCGTCAGATATTTTTGCACTTCGATCAACATCATCGGTTTTCTTGAAAGCCATTCCAGCTTCATTGAAAACTACATCTCAACTGGTGATACACCTCTTGTGACCTGGCTCTAGGCACCATAGTCTATAAGCTTTGACTCATTCAGGGTATCCCATGAACATCATTTCAGAGCTCTAGGTTCGACCTTGTCTTTCCTAATGTGAACATAGGCTATGCAGCCAAATACTCTAAGTTTGTTGAGATCTGGTGGTTGTCCCAACCGAACTTCTTCACATGTCTTCATATCTAACACGGTCGAAGGACATCTATTTATCAGATATGTAGCTATTGAAACAGCCTCACCCAAAAACACCTTCTTTAACCCGACACTAGTCAGCATGCATCTAACTCTCTCCAAAATAGTTTTGATTAAACCAGAGGAAACACAAAAGTTAACGAAAGCCTCATTGCAAAATTCAAGGCCATTGTTAGTTCTCAACCTCTTGACCTTTCTGCTAGTTTGATTTTTGACCAGAGTCTTCCAACTTTTGAAATTCTCAAAAGTTTCATCCTTAGTCTTCTGAATGAATACCCATAACTTTATGGAATAATCATATACTATGGATAAAAAATACCTTGCTCCTAAATGTGATGGACACCTTACAGGCCCCAAAAGATCAGCATGGATGTAATCATGGGATCCACGTGTTCTTTGTTTGCCTTTGTGATACTGTGGCAGAACCGACTGTTAGTACTGGTTTGCATTTTTTGTTCGCAAATGTCGCAGTAAGCAAGAGTCGCCACCGACTTTTATTTCATCCAACAAAGGAAAAGGGAAAAGAACAGAAAAAAACCTTTTTCAAGATGTTTCTGAGTATGGGGGATAGATTATAGAAAGGGAAGGTGTTAGCACCCTTTCTATCCATGGTTTTCCATGGGCTCTTAGGTACTTGCTCATTTTAAAATTGCTTGTGTGTGTTTTGAAAAGTTTTTGTTTAACTTCATGGTAACCCTTGTATCTGTCCTCAAGAGTGTGACGAAGTTGTTTTTGAAAACTATTTTGAAAGTGTTTGTGTGAAAGAGTTTTTGTTGTTTTGAGCAAGTACTTAAGAGTTTCTACCTACTCGAAAAAGACTGTTTGTTTTCTCGTTTCCTTTAGACAGTGTTATCCTACTATTAAGGAGTAGGTAGCTCCATCGTTGGAGTTTAAGAGACATTCGAAGGGACAAGTACGGTCACAAAATCAATGGTTAGGAAACCTTAGTAGTTACCCTAAAGTCCTAAATATCTTTCTGAGGCAATATTCGAATGGGTCATTTTGATCTTTCGGGACTAGAGGACGACCACTAAAATTCCCTATGCTTCATGGCCGTTTACCGAAGGCAACCAGAATGGGATAAGCCCTAGGAGTGAACATGTGCATGTGTTATTTTCAGTTTATTTATCTTTGCATAATTAGGGTTATCTACCATTTTAGTTGTTATTCTTTCCATACAAGCCTATTAGTCTAAGCAGTTTATAGTTGTGGAAATTAAAAGCGGAAAAGTAAATCTACAATATTACAAGGCTTTGGGGAGGGGGTTACATAACCAAAAAACTGGGGATTAAACAGTAAATAATATGCGGTAAACAAAACCTAATTTAAAACTATTAAAAACCCGATGCAAATACAATAATTGGAAAATAAAGTGAAAATAAATAAGCGCGCGAAAGTTAAGACAGGAACAAATTAGAAGCCTAAAAAATCTAATTAATTAAAAAATATTTTTGTGTATTTTTTATTGAGAAAATAATTAAATTGCAAATTAAACCTAATTTCTAGTTTATTTTAATTAATAAAAAAAACAATCAGGTTAATCTAATTAGACTAATTTTTTTTCAATAAAATTAATTTAAATTAAAAAAACCTAATTCTACATTTTTGTGATTTTATATTTCATGATTAATAAAAAAATAACTTATTTTAAGAAATATAAAAATAATTAAAGCAAAAATAAAAAAAATTACAAAATCAAAAACAAAAAAGAAAAAGAAATGGGCCTGCTGATGTTGTTAGTAATCTGGGGGGGGGGGTGCGCTTGCTTTTTTGTACTAGGCCCAAGATTCATAAGCCCAATCACTTGTTTGATTCAGTGCAATCAGATTTGGAATGTCCATCATG